CCACACTTCTCTATCTTGAAGAATAGTCGAGATATTAATTGCAGCAGAAGGCGGTGGGGATTGCCTGAGTTCAGTGGTGAAATTAGCGAGAAAATGGCCGCCAACGTTTAGTGAGTGACATAGTTTGAGAGTCCTGTAAACTGCAAATTTACATTTTTATTTTATACCTTTAATTAACGTTTTTCAGTATAAAAAAATAAATTAAAAAATCACCCAGTAAATGTTTTCAAATGAACATATAAGGTGTTGAGACACCCCCCGCCCCTAGAAGTTTGATTTTTAAGAAACTGCCAAACGTGGTTTCTTCGATGTCATTATTTTGACGCGTGCCTTATTTCACCACGATGCCTTTTGGTCGTAATATTGCTGTCCTTAATCTGTTAAACGAGAGGACAACGGAGTTGTTATATCTTTCTTGTTTTTTGGTGGGGTTTTTTTTAAAAAGCGGATTGCTAAAGAATTTTGTGGCTTCTAAGTAGACCTTCCATCTGCTTTGTAGACATCGAAGGTATACATACCATGTATTATGCGTTCATATTCACGAAGGCAAGAATTGGATGTAAAAAAAAGGGGGGGGAAAGAAAAAAAAAAAGAAAAGAAATCCCTGAAAAGCAAATTCGAGTCGTCAGCAAACGTTATCAACGTTGTGTCTGCATTGTGCACTCATTAGGCTAATCATTATTTCTGCTCACTGTGTACAAAGTTGATGACAGTATACACTCCACCAGTATATAATTTACAAACAGAGGGATAGGCACGTGTGTTGTTTAGCTTGACTTACTGTTTTATATATAAGTTGAAAAGTCTTAGGGACAAAGTGTTTTTAGCCATAGTTTATGCGCCAATTTTACCTTTCCTCAAGGACAGCTCAGAATACAATAAATACTGTCTTTGGGATTTTGAAATCAGGCATTCTTTCAACACCATCAGCCCTACGAAGTTGAAACCCTTTGAGCTAATACGGGGTGCCTACTACGGACGGGATAGGCCGATCGGGCCGATCGCCCGACTCGATCGCCTCAAAAACAAATGTGTTTGTTTTCAGTTTCAGGAGATCGAGTCGGGCGTTTGGCCCAATCCAGCCGTAGTGGGCACCCCGTATTAGGAAACAGACTCTCGATGTCTGCCCTTTTGAGAACTTTTATAGCTGGCGTTCTGTCCTGCCATTTGACGACAAACATTCTCTTGAGAAATTTCACGAGGAAATGACGATTAAGCTTCTGGCATGGCTTTTTAAAAATGTTTGGGGGGGGGGTTGGTAAATGTTTAACGGCGCTCACAACTGCATAAGGCCATATGAGCGCGCGGGAAACATTAAACATTGTAGGACATTGACTTTTGCCTCTTATCGATTTTAGAACACCAAGGGATCTTTAACGTGTGCAACTTGCACACGGGACCTCCGAGATTTTTCGCCCTTGTCCGAGAAAGCTAGGTGTAGATCTTTCCTACCATAAGATCAGGAGTGTGGCTGAGCGACAGCTGTAAGGAGCCAAGGAGTATCAGTAGAAAGGCTGAAGAAAGAGTAGGAGCCCAGAGGAGGGGGCAAAGGAGGTGAGGGGGTGGGGGCAGAAAGTGGAGACGAAAGCAGACGACAGAACCATGCTAGAGGACAGGAGAGGAGGTGAAAAGAGACAATTTTAGAGATGAAAATTTTTCGGTCGCGACCCGGATTCGAACCCGGGACCTTCGAATGAAAAGTGAACACCTTAACCTCTAGGCCACGAGAGCCCCCTGGCATGGCTTTGGTGCAGTGTCTTTGTCTCGGCACCATACTATAACAGGATTGGGAGGACAAAGAATTGTATTTTCAGCTTAGTCTCTGTGCTAAGGTTATTTATAAAACGAATGGGTGGTTGGCGGGTGCTCTGGTGTGGTTTGCTCCTTCTTTCTGATCAAACATCTATCGCCGTTATCTCCCCTCTATCTGTTCTGAATATTATTATGTTACTCTCTAGTAACACCTCTAATCTTTGGTACTTATGTGACCTTATTGTATTGCGGGTGCCGTAAAACTTTTACTGAAAAATATTGAATTATAAATAAATAAATAAATAAATAAAACGACCAGATTCCAAACCCCCCTTACATTCAGGTTTGTTTGAACGTAGGCCTACAACTGACCCAGCCAATGCAAGCCCGCCAGCTGCCAGCTACTTTCACACTCACATATCGCCAAAGGAATTTGATGGTGTGAAAATAATGAATATACTATACGGAATACGTTTAACGCCCCCATCAACACTAGTAGGTTTTTTAAGAGGGGGGGGGGGGCTTCGAGTCTAAAGTCCATCTCCGAAAGGAGCGAGCCAAATGGTCAAACTGACTTTCCCCCCTGATCTGTGAAAGTGGACACGATCAAGAGGATGCCAACCATGTCCTTCAGCACTGCCCGCGCTATGCCACCCTTCGTACACAGACGTGGCAGAATGTGACTCCCCTTGAGAGAAAGCCATATGGCAGTCTCTCAGATTTGAAGCGAACAGCACAGTTTGTGCACGACATCGGACTGGCTGTCTAGCTGCTGTCATCGAGAACGAGGAAGGAGAAGAAGAAGAACTCTCTCACTCCTTAGTGCAGTAATGTGTCTTATGGCAAGATAAAGACAAAAGGATCTGAAAGGGTGGCTATGTCAGGGGCAGGAGGTTGTCAGGATGTCACCATTGTTGAAGGGCAGACTGTCTAGAGGTACCACCAGATAGATAGATAGATAGACAGATAGATAGATAGATAGATAGATAGATAGAAGATAGATAGATAGATAGATAGATAGATAGATAGA